GGACTTTATGTCCTCACTGTATATTGATCACATTTGGCCATTTGGGTGAGCCGTTTGTGATATATCTTAAGCTTAAATTATAAATAAAATCCAAAGAAATTTTATAAAGATTTAAATGTCTTGACATCCCTAAGAAATTTCTTTGCGAATTATTTATAATTTAAGCTAAAATATGTCAAAAACGGCTCACTCAAATGCATGCCAGGATCAAGGGGGGGGCTAACGGGGCTACAGCCCCGGGCCCCGCAGTCCAGTAGGGCCCCAGAGGGGCCCTACTTTCGAAATTGAGGCTTCTGCTGGTCAAGGGCCCGTGGACAAACAATAAATATTATAGGCACTAGTCTTTCGCGTCATGTTTCGCTAAATTTATTAAATTAAAAATAAATATAGAACAACAATGCAGAAGGAACGCCTGTCTTTATTAACATTGATGTGCATAGAAAGACTACAGACATTCTGAAGGAATTAGAATTTACTGATGTCATACAAGAAGTTGTTGGGTGAATTTAAGTTACCTACGAAAAATAGTTATGTATGCAACAAGTGTGTAAAGTGATTGTCACTGCATACGGACCTGCTTTTTTACTGTGTTATTGAAAAATTATAAACAGTATCAGTTTTAGGATGCCCAAAGATGACAAAATCGCAAATAAAAAATCTAGGTTCGTATTTAAAAAACGTAAGTTAAGGATGGCCGCCTGAAGACGAAACGTCGAATTTTAAATTTAGTACCACAATCTACTAGAGGGGAAGAAGTGACAATGATGAAGTGACATTTATTTTAAAATTGCTTTTCAAATAAGCCCGGGAAAAAATAAAAACGATTTTAAAGAATTTTGGTTTTTTCCGAATATCTCCGGAAGTATTCGGAATCTTTCTAGTTTCAAAACGGTATTCTATTGGTCATAAAATTGCACAACTTTGCCATAATTTAACCAACCCCGTATCTCTTACGGTTACCGAAATACCAATGATGAGGCTCAAATTCGGGCCACCCTGTATATCTGGAAAACGAAGCATTTCCGGAAATATGTTTATTAAGAAAAAAGTTTTATTTTTACGAGATCTACCATCCCTAGAAGTTTGTAACAAACCTTTCGTGACACCCTGTATACAGGGTGCCCACGCGGTTTTTTCCAAATGATAATTTCGGAGCACATCATCGTATGTTCCACTGTATAATTTTTTATCATTTTCTTTAACAAAGCCTTAACAAACATAGCATTGACGATTTTGTAATTTAATTTTCTAACGTAAAATGCCATAATATACCATGAGTTACATTTAAGATTCGAAAGTTTAGGTCACTTGACCGAAATTGAAGCGAAAGCGGTGAAATTGGTCTTGGATGACGATGGTAGAACTAGCATAAAAAGTTACTCACAGCTTCAAAATTTCAATTATATTGTATGATGCGTTCCGAAGTTATTACCTGAGAAAGACGTCGTGGGACACCCTGTATATTTTTTTGCACTTAATTTATGAAGGGCCCCCTAAAACTTCACTAGCCCCGGGCCCCATGAAAGCTTAATCCGGCCATGCTCAAATGTGATTAATCTATGTATATTTGGAATCAGGAAGAAAAGATCTTTCATTTTATCGCAAAATATACAGGGTGTTCCATTAAAAAAAAGTCCAAGTTGTCTACGTTTCTCCATTTTCCGATGCGATTTTGTTTGTCTGATGACATTAAAACACATTGACTGCCACGTCATACATTTATGAATGACACGGCCACTTCCGTTTCGGCCGCGTCATTCATTTTTGTATGACGGTTCAGTTTCACTTCTAGGCCATGTCATACACTTATGTATGACAGCCTGTGTATTTTGAATGGAGATATATTTGCGTGGCCCCTGGGGATTCTCAAGGTAAACTTGGCCAGAGCAAATTTTGTTGGGTTTTTGTCCAAGACCAATGAAATCAAAAATTTACTTAAAATAGGTAAAATTTTAGGTAAAAAACTGTCAACCACAAAAAAAAATAATTCTTTCTGATAGGGTGTTCCTAAATATCATGTACAAACGAAAGGGGGTGATTCTTTGGTTTATATTATAACTAAAATTTCTAATAAACATAGGTCCGCAAACGCTTCGTTACCGATCTACAGGGTGTTGAAATTTTAATATTTTTTTAGTTTTTTCTTTATAGCTCCTGCAATTTTTGAAGGATTTAACTCAAATTTGGAATAAAGGTTACCCAATAAGAGCTGAATGATTGCACATATCAAGCGTTTGCCAGAGTCTACAGGGTGATATTTTTTCAGGAGTCATGCCCCCTTTTCGTCCCCTGAACTTTTTCGCGGTGCGCCGCTGGTAGATTATAAAAAACAAAATAATTTTTCTACCTTATTTAGAAACTTTTTGTTCTCTTGTAGTTTTTTCGCATCACCGACCCTTATCGAGAAAAAAATTAAAAAACAAATCTCTGTAATTAGCTAGATGAAACTAAAGTGTCTGAATAAACCTTTTCCAACTAAAGTGGCGACAATAGAGGTCCCGCAGCCATATTTCTGCTCATTTTCAATAGGAATCTAGAAGTAAAGACACTCCTCGCCGCCATATTCTTGCTCATTTTCAATATGAATACATTAAAATTTCAACACCCTGTAGATCGGTAACGAAGCATTTGCGGACCTAAGTTTATTAGAAATTTTAGTCATAAAATAAACCATCACCCCTTTCCGTTTGTACATGATATTTAGGAATACCCTGTCTATGATGAAATATGAACTTATAATTTAGAAAAGGAACAGGCCAAATCCTGAATTATTCGCTGGGGGCCAAAGTTGTATTTTCGTATTTTTTGGCATTTCTTTTATTTTACAGTGGCAATTTACTTTGGTTTTTATTTTTTTGGCATTTTTGCATTTTTTGTTGTCATTCATATATGAATGACGTGGCCGGTGCGATAAAATTTCGTCAAAGTTTTCCAGAGGGCCGCGTCATTCATATATGAATGACAGAACAAAAAATGCCAAAAAAATAAAAACCAAACAAAATTATAAGTAAATTGCCACTGTAAAATAAAAGAAAAGCCAAAAAATACGAAAATACAACTTTGGCCCCCAGCGAATAATTCAGGGTTTGGGCTTGGCAGTCAATGTGTTAAAAGAAAATATGGAAAAAACATTTCAAGTCTTGTATTTAAATTTTTTTTTCTATTTTTAATAGTAAAGGCTGTAGGATGGGTCCAAATATAATCAAATACCCTGTACTCTAATTTGATTTTCCAGATTCTTCGACGAGCAACACAGCCACACACTCGACTTCAATTCCAATTTTCCCGCCCCGTAAATTTCAAATTTTGTGAATTCGCAAAATATTGAACTCTGACAGATGTCACTTTCCTTGACAGTGGACTGACTTAGGAGCGGCCTTCGCAATTCGTGATTCGCGTCTATATGATTTACACCTTAGTTAGAAATTAGCGTTGTCGGTAAATGTCCAACTACTTTAATTCGGTTTCCAACGTGTAGGTATACCAAAAATTGTTGTCTTGGGTTAAGCCGTTATAATTATTTTCGTAATAGGAAACTAAAAACGTAGAAATGTGAAAAAATCACGAGATCGATTTTTTACATGAATTTGTGAATACAGTACTCCCCTTACCACCGAGGATCTATGAACCTAAAAACGTATAAATGTGAAAAATTCTGGAGTTCGATTTTCACGTGAATACAATGCTTCCCTTATACGACCGGAGGAAGAAATAACGAAATCCTAGTCAGCAAATCACTAGAAAATTACAAAAACGTAAAAACTGTTTGCAGTAGTTTCGGAATTAACTGTAAGCCTTTTAGGAGCGTGCCCTGCTAATATATATTTTTTTTTTAATCCGGGTCGAAGAGGCTTCATTTTCGATATAACGTCGTTGGGAAAATGTAGCAACTTAGAAGAAATTTGGCTAATTTTTATATACATATATTATATATATATATAGGCACAATTAAATAATATAAAAATTAAATTAATATAGACTTGGCACTCGTGTTAATGGTGTTTAGCGGCGTTGTGCGTAGGTTGAAAACTATTTGAATTAGGTATCAGAAAAATGATTGGATGATTCTCCGTTTGAAATATATTTTCTTCCTAATTACCTACTTCCCTTGGTAGTAAGGGAAGTATTGCATTGACCTCGAGATTTTTCCAAATTTTTACATTTTCAGGACCCTAAATTTCTCAATTGCCTCTGCCGGTTTATTGGCGCTCTACTAGCGCTAACTAATAACAGCTAAAACAACAATTTTTGGTATACATGTTGGGCACCTCCTGCTACCGACAACGTTAATGTAAGGATTTTTGTTCGCAGTTCACAGATATAAAGTGTCCCAAAAACTATGCATCACTAACAAGACCAGTAAAAGTTTACTACAGATACGTTTTTGACTTTTGTTAATTGTGGCCGATTTTATATTCCTTTGTGTTCAAAAATATTTTGTCTGTATTTTCAAAACTAATTATTTTAGAAGAATAGTTTAAATTTGAAAGTTCCTCAGGTTCATCTGCTCTATATAAGATTGGGACCAGAAATTTTAATATTTATCGGAAAAATGGTGGAATGATTTGTCGGGGGAAGTCACGGGTGAAGGCATCTACCGATTTTTTTTAAACGTATTTTGATCAGTAAATCGTGAGAAAAACCCGAAAGATATGAGAACCTTAATAAAAACGTAGCAACAGTTCCTTTAGACACCGCCGAGCAAGTAGAACAGAAACCCCCAGAAATCGCCTTCTGATTTAAATTAAATTTTTGTATACATATGGAGGAAATTTTGTTAAATAATTTCACCTATCAAACATAAGTACCTATAAAAAGTTAATTAGCCATTAACAACTCACTAAAACTTTCCATCGAGGAATGAGGAATTTATATAAATCCTCTTAGCGGCTACTAAAAAGGTGTAACTTTATCAAGTTTACACATTGAGTATTATTATGGTTATGAGTAGATATACTTTTTTTTTTGCGCGATTGGCTAAACGTAAATAAGACACTTACCTACCGAAGGCCTAATTTATTTCACTCCTATAAACTGAAATCCTTTATCACTGCACAAAAATTTCCGGAAAACCGAGCAAATTTTTCCCGTGAAAAACCGTCGAAATGTCTACGTGTAACGGGGCATTCGGGCCAACAAAAAGCAGTTGCGATCGAAAAAAAAACTTTTACTGAAGTTATTTCGTGGCCATGTTGTTCTCGACACTGAGCAAGTCTCCATCACCCATCAGGGCCGAGCCGACCATGCGGTGTACGCGCGTTCACCTGCTCAGGTGTTCATAAGACCGTGGAAGGACCTGCTTGCACGGTTACTCGGTGGTACGATAAAAGCGGTACCAAGCGCGAATAATACATATAAATAGTTTGAAAGAAAATTATTACTCTATCGACGCCGAAGGCTTATTTGGGAAATTGCACTTTTTTGGGCACATAATGGCTTAGTTTATAGGTACGATGAAATGTTTCAGAATAGATGCGCGTCATTGAAACAGATTTTTATCATGACAATGACATCATAAGACCAGAGGATTCTCAAATAATTTAGCTTTGAATAAACTGAAGCTATCCGCTGCTATCCTGACCGGAATGAGTTTATCCCATACTCTGCATACTCATGCTTGAACATTACGATTTTAATATAGATTAATCGAGTTATACACATACGAAATATTAGTCAGGGCCGCAACTAGAACCCTCGGCGCCCAAGGCAAGTCCAAATTTTGGCGCCCCTCCACCTACTTCCCAAAAGTAACAATAGATATATTTTTTGATGCTTTGGTTTTTGCTTGAAATTTTTCCAATACATTTTCGAAATATATAATTTAGACACATTAATTCAAAAATTTTATTTGGTAGTAGGTACTAAGTATTAAAAAACACATTCATCTTCGCTGATGCTACATAATAAATCCAAAAGTGCAACAGCTTTTTGTTTGGAAATATTAGCAGAAATTTTTCAAATTTTTATGTACGGTACATGTAAACAAAAACAAAACAAACTGCACTGGCTCTCCACGAGCCTTCCTAGTTCGTGCCAAAAAATGCGCACTGAGTGCATACATGATTGATGAAAGCTGATAATGTGCAGTCAAATGGAATGTAAAAATTACACTGAGTGCACCTCCGTGCAACAAATGGAAAACGCCATTATTTTATCGCGAACAGTTTTGGAACGAGTTCTCCAGACTATCTAATACGTAAACGAACGTTATGTGTCAATCCTGAAGTTCTTGCTAAAATCCTAGGACCGCTAGAACTGGTTCAGAAACGGTTCCGAACCGATTCTGGTTGATCCGCGAATCCAGAACCGTAACTAAAAGTTCGGAATTTTGTGATCCGCGAACGCCATTACTTGAACTGCGCATGCGAAATAGTTTCGAACCAGTTCAGAATCCTTACCGCGAACGAAGCTATTGTAAAAGTAGAAGCTGTTTACGGAAACTATGATGATCGGGTTAACCCGATCGCCAGCAGACGTATTTTGTCTTTTTTCAATTGTATTCATTAAGGAAAGATAGAAAACATTCAGCTGCTGATCGGGTTAACCCGATTATAGTTTCCGTAAACGGCTAAAAGAAAAGAGTCAAAAGAGATAATGCATGCAGCATGCAGAGGGCGCCCACGCGGCCCACGTCGTACACAGTTCTCTTGCTCAGTTTGGTCGGATCAAAACTCGACTCGAAGCTAATCTCTGGCTAACGAATGTTGGGCGCTACGTCATAAAGACTTGAATTTATCACAGACATTGCAATTTGCTGCTGCCTTATTCACGCGCACTATGTTTGACATAATTTATATGATTACTATCGATATTCTTATTGTTGATGGTTGACAAAGAGGGATGTAACACAAGTAAAATAAATTTCCATGCTACGACAAATGATACGTAAAACCGTTACATTTTATTAGATTGTAAAATTTGGATGGATTAAATTAGGCGCCTTCGGCGCCCCGATACTCCGGCGCCCTAGGCAGGCGCCTCCCAAGTAGCACAGAAATATTGTTAATAGACTGAAGTGCTTTATATCCGATTTGTTAGAGCATTTGAAGTAACAAAACTGATTTTTAAGAGACTCGATAAATACAAATGTATCATGAAAACAAATTTATTTTGTTATTTTGCTATATAGATATTTTCAAGATTAATTTAAATAACAATTTTATAAGTTTGGTAATTAACTTGTTCATAAATATTTATATGACAAGACTTATAAAACTGTTTTTGTTTGAGATAGATATATTTTGTAGTTGCTTTATAGTAATATTCACAAACAGATATATATCACTTATAAAAGTATGCATTTTGATTTATTACGGCTTTATCATGAGATTTTATAGTATTTATGGAGAATAATTTATAAAACAGTTCATTCTTAGCAATAATTTAGTTCCGTTCAATACTCTTATAAAACTATTTTATAATTGTTGTGGAACAAAATTGAATAAAGCACTTAAAAAAGGGTTAAATAACAGAAGTGTCTCACAAAATACAAAATTATTATTAGGGTAACCTTATAAAAATGTTATAGCACTAACCTAAAATTTAGTTTATCTACCTTCGCTGCAGAAAAATCTTGACATTTCTAGTTTTAATTCCAGTGATAATTGATATAGGTACCCATTGCTAATTATCAATATGTCAAGCATTTCTTGCTGGATAATATTAGGAATAAGTGGCAATTTCAGGAAAGAGGTAAAGGCTAAATTCGAAAGATATAATTTGGTGTCATTTAGCAACATATATCTGTATTAAGGGCGTTTAGCTTATAATAACGTAACATAACATAGAATAGTAATAAGGTGTCCAATTTCTAATTTTCTTATAAATGTATTCTACGATAAAAGTATCGTAAAACTGATACAGTCAGATAAACTTTATAATAATATTGTTATTTAAGCAATTTTTCTGAAGGCTATATAACAATAGTATTTTATAAGGGTTTTATTATTATCGCAATTACTTCAGATATACCGACACCCACGCCACCTAGCACCATGATCTGAAAACAGATATACATGATTCAGAACAGGCGATGCGACGTTGTCAAACTGAATATATTATCTTCAAGTATCCAGAATATTTATTTGAAATTCAATAAGAATTATTAAGGGTTGATTATGATCGAATGCCCTAGATAAATACGTAAACACATGAACCGTTACAAGTTACTGTCTATATTAGGTAGGTACTGTAACCCTGCTAGTAAACCACAGTGAACTAAAAATTAAAATACAGAGAAGGTATAATCTATATACCTACCTATTTAATTTAATTCAATTAAAAACTTGTTGGAATTGTTACGGTGTGGCCAAAAACTCTAATCAAGTAGGTACCTATGACTATTTTCTCCCAATTTTAAATTCCAACTTTTTTGATTCAATTCTGTCGGCCACGAGTTTTAAGTATGATTTTTTAAAGATGAAGTTCGAAAGTTACTAGTAACTTTTGATTTTAATCCATACAAAATTGATAATATATAAAGGTACACGTTTGTTCTTGACATTGGCAACATTGCAATGTCTGGAATATTATAATAGTTTTACGCTATGTCATTTTAGATAATAAAATACAAATGTTTTATGGAACTGCATTATAAAACACGTTATAAATCAAATATGTTTTATAAATATCAAATTTGTTTATTAAACATTTTCTTGGCGATAGAAATAATATATTAGTCGACGCCATGTTTTCACGTTTAATTTCACTTAGTCCTATGTCGGCCATTTTATCGTATCCAAAATAAATTAAATAAAATAATATAATTTAGAAAATTGTCGTTACTAAAAGAATAAAATCAGTTCACAATGACATAGGACATGACATAATGTCGATTTTCAACTTCACGGATGATTATTGGAGACTTTCGTGAAATTTAAATATTTTTTGTAACTGTAAAACCTTGTTAAAATTGAAGCGCGTTAAAATATCTCCAAAAAATAACCCCCAATTGATCAGTAAAATTTGCTTCGCAGTAAGATTTGAGTGTTTGAACGGTATTTAGGTGGGCTATATATTTTTCCTGATTTACCCATGCATTCCTAGCAACATTTCGCCATATTCGTTATCTATAAAAGCAGAGAAGGTTGGACAACCATTTAAAAATCAGTTTTGTATTCAGCATTATGAAAATACGATAAAATATTTTTATTAAACTGTTTTAAGTATGCTATAAAATATTATTTTATAAATGTTCTATTAGTAATTTCAACTAAAGCTACAAAATTTCCAAATAATATTTATAAAGCTGTTTTATACTAAGGTTCACAAAAGACACAATTGCTATATAGGTGAATTTATCTCCTAACTTATAAACCTCTTATAAAACTGTTTCATAACGATTTTATAAAGCACTTCATAATATTTTGTAAATGCTATTCGCGATCCTGAAACAACTTTAAAACAATAATAATATTTTATAAACCTGTGCCTTTTTCATACGTATAGGCGTCATATAAGCGTCTACAACCCAACTAAGAAATATCGCAGTTATATAGTAAGATGTTTTATAGCAATGTACATGATCCTAATAAGCACATTTGTGCTACTTGGGCTAGTTCGCCACCCCCTAGTTGCGGCCCTGATATTAGTACTGAAGTTTTTCTAATTTTTTTGTTCTAAGATATATGTTGTCATTCCTGCACGCATAAAATAAAATGTGCATGGTACAGAGAGTTAGAAGCTTGTTAAGCTATGTACAGGTTATTTAGTACAGAGTAGGGTTTTCCAACAAGGACTGCGAATAGGGGCCTATTTTTTACTTTTCCTGTGAGAAAATGCGAAAAAGTCATCTTATGTAAAATCTGTTTTTTTTTTAAAGATAATTCCCCAAGTCAAAAATTTAGTAACTATGTTGGCAACACAAGCCTTTTCTACATGAAAAATTTGATAGCATTGACAATTTTACATTGTATTGCCAACCTAATGTCAGTTTGACTTTTATCTTAAAAAAAAAAAACGCACTTTATTATTTCCTAAAAAATTCAATTACAATATTACCTTGCATTTTTTGGGACTTGCACCTCAATTGAAATTAATACCAGAAGTTTCTTGATTTTGATACGAATTACTACAAGCTCTCTGATTAGAGCAATTTTACCTATCAGATTATTTTTATAAAATAAATTACTCGAATCGACTTTTTATAAACGAATCGAGTTTTATTATTTCAATAAAATAATACTTGATTAGGCTCGGTGGTATGAGTTCTGGATTTTTTGCTGACGTTTCGGTACCAAATCTGCTACCGTTGTCGAAGCTTGGGGGATGGAACACCTAAAAAATAAAAAAGGCAGAAA